TTATCATTAATGCTAACATGTGGTGCTAGCTGTGTTATTAATGCAAACGTGTGCTACTAACTGTTATTATTAACGCTAATATGTGGTGCTGACTGTGGCTGCTACCAAGGACTTGTAGGAAGGCCCAGTGAGGATACAGAGCTGCAGCGGTCTGAGAGATGGACTGCAGAGCGCTAACAGACACACAAGTTTTCAATCAGTTAATCACACTACACAACAATTTTGATCATTGATTATCAGACTGAAATATCTGCACAGGTGTAAATGTCAGGTGAGTCTCAGCTGTTACCTGTCAGATGGAGCAGTGGGTGAATTCATTGGAGGACAGGCTCCACCCAGCAGAGCTGCAATGCAGGCTGCAGCTCCCTCTGCTGTCGCTTGCAGGTTATAACCTCCCTACACGCGCACACACACACGCACACACACACACACTGTGTTCACCGCCTGTCCTACAGGTGTGAAACGTGTTGTCCTAGGGCAGAATAATAAATCAGTGTGTTTAATGTTGTTTTACCTCTAGAGCGAGAACCAGTCGACCTTCAGCCAAACTCATCAACATGTGAGTGAGAACGTGGAAACACTGAGGACTCACACACATCTCGCCCTAAAAAAAAAACACACACACACACAGTTTTGGTGTTGGCATGTCAACACACGTGTGTCCAATCTGCGTTCTGTCGATGCTCACCTTCGGATCTCCGACTGCAGCATCAAATCCAGCAGAGACCAGAACGAGCTGAGGCTGAAACTGCAAACACACACTGATCAACACCTGATGACACCATGAGCTGCATGTGTGTGATGTGTGAGTCTGTGTGTGTCTGTGGTGTAACCTCGTAGGCCACTGGCAGAAGAATGTGTTGGAAAGCAGCGATGTAATCAGCATCAGTCATCTCCGTCTGAAACACAAACACACAATCTGCACATCTGACTACGCATCACATGAAATGATGTGTTTCTGCTTGAAGTGCTTCTTTGTGTGTGGGTCTGGTTCTGGTTGTGTATCTCCCTCTTGTTCTGCTTCTGGTTCTGATTGCGGTTCTGGTGGTCTCACCTTGTTCCAGGGAACGTTGATGTTTCTTCCTTCAGCTCGTCCACTGCCAACAAACTGACTGTCAGACTCAGACAGGTGAGGCCAGAAAGATCCCCGTTCATACCTGTGGACACTGAAGTACACGACACTGCAGACAGACAGATGGACAGACAGAGAGAGACACTCAGTAATTTTCTGCAGCTTAAACTACAAAGATTGAACAAAAAGTTTCAAGACTGTGCACGGAGCGTGTGCACGGAGCGTGTGCATGAGGCAGGAGCTGCTGCTGTCTCCTTGAACATCCTCCAGACTGAACTCAGAGTTCTGCTGTAACGTCCTGACACCATCCAGGCAGCTCAGCTGTGACTCCACATCTTCAGAAGCATGAAGCTCTCCGTCTGGACTCAGCTTCGACGATTCTTCACAGATATAAAAACATGTGACTGCTGCACCTACGCTCCCTGCACAGTGTCAAAATGGTCAACGTTCATAAACCTTCTGATGGGTCTGCAGCTCACTTCCTTGTTTATACTGCCGACTGCTGTCTGATTGGTCGATGCCCCAGCTGTTGCTTAGTAACAGAATTTCACAATAATGGCTGACACCTGATCCTGCAGCTTACCTGGGATCCTCCTGGAAGAGGTACTGGATCCCCTGACCATGATGGACATCCCAGTCCACGATCAACACCCTGAAAGACAGACAGTCCAATTATCTGGTTCATCACATCAGGTTCTGTTCATCCTGATGACTGAGGACTTCACGAGAACAAACTGGACTTCTGTTTTTGGTTCTGACAACATTCATGCTGATCTGCAGGTATTTATTCTCACCTTCTAATCACATGACTTATGGTCCATGGCAGACAGGACTCACATGACCCAAGAAGTTAATGGTGGTAAAACTGCATGTTAAGTACCAGACAAGTGGCGTCGTGGAGCTTCGTCGTCCTTCAGTCCACTCCTACACCACCTGCTCTCTCTGTCTAGAACGTCCATGCATCCATCCATCATCTATACACCGCTTCATCCTCATTAGGGTCGCGGGGGCTGGAGTCTATCCCAGCTGACTCAGGGTGAAGGCAGGTTCACCTGGACAGGTCTGTCTAGAATGTGAGTTTTTATTATGAGCTGCAGCTGTATGTGCAGTCCAATGCAGCCAGGAGAGCACAGGCCCTGTTAAAGGGACACTAACCCACAGCAGAGACCAGACATCAGGACCAGACCAGCATCCAGCTGAAGGATCAGAGACACTCTGAGGACAGAAAAGTCCACATTCTGGACAGAGAAGATGGGTTGAGAGACTAAACTACAGCTACAGAGGAACATCACAGGAGAATCTGCCGAACCCAAAAACAGAAGTCCAGCTGCTTTTACTGAAGCCAAAAAAAACTTGTGATTTGAGAATAAACCCACCTGCTGACGCTGTGGTTCCTCTGAGCGTATCGAGCTGCAATCGCCACGTTGTTGAAGACACAGAACCCATTGGCCTCATTCATCTGAGCGTGATGACCTGGAGGTCTGAGTGGAGAAAACATAGGAGAAGAACAACAAGATCTACATGGCGAAGAGGAAGACAGCAACCTACTGGTTTGTCAGGGTTTCTGTTTCGTGTTCAGGAGATCAAAAAACAACATAAGACTATGTGACTATCATCTGTGACAGCCACACTGTCTTTTGTTTTACTAAAAAACAACCTGTGTAGGAGTTCTAATGCTAACTGTCACTGGGGGAAATGCCTCTCAGAGCGCTGCTGAACAAAGAACACAAACAAATAAATAAATGAACAAATAAAACAACAAAAGCAGAAGAATTTGTCTAGATAAGTAATGAGGAAGGTGATTCTTCAGAAACAGTTTGGGTTGCAGATTGAGGCTGACGTGGTTTCTGACTTCACTGGAAGCTGGTACCTGATGACGGCAAATCCGTTCCTGAGTTCAGAGGTCAGAACCCGATCGACCAGCTGCAGAACTGAACCGGCTGCCAGCACACACACCTGGAACGAATCCTGACACACACATCAGTGTCTACAACATGTCTGGAAATATTCATACAATGCCCCTGAAATGTTACAGAAAATAAAATGTATGTAAAATATTCCAGATTTTCAGGAAGCTTCTGATCAGTCTTGTTCTTACAGCATGGAGGTAGACGGAGTCGTATTTGTTAGACAGAGTCTGAAGTTCAGTCTGCGTCATCGTCTGAGTCGACCTCATCAAGTCCACATACTGTTTCCTGCAGCAACACAAACACCATCAGCCTTTACTGTGACTTTGAACCGTTTGTACCACAGAAAGGGAAGAAGCTTGACGTAACTCACGTGTGAGCGAGCAGCAGCTCGTCTTCTGCAGCTTCTCTGGGCTGAAACACAAACAAACACTTCAGCTTTGTATTCATGAAACACTGAGACTTTAATCACAGACACGTCGTTACCTCGACTTGGACGCAGAGCGACAGCAGCTGTTGTCTGTCCAGCTCCGCCATGATGGACGTCACTCTGTCCGGACGCTCCGGGTGACTGGAACAACCGAACACAGTGAACACCAGCTGGAATAAAGCTTCACCGCAACCCTGTCCAACAACATTCATGGTACCCTCTACATCTACATCTACCCTCTGACTCTACATCTACCCTCTAACCCTACATCTACCCTCTAACCCTACATC